AGACTTTATTAAACAGGTACACAGAAAGAAAATATTGAAAAATGTCTATACACACTCTTCCAGCCTAGGGTGAAGTCATTATGTAGATACATTAACAACGCTTTGAGACAAATTAGGCCTGTCATTTAAAGGAAAAATATGTGACTGGCGCTCTGTGACACAGCAGGATTTTGAACAGCTCTGCGCTTGTTTGTTGCAAAACACAAAGGTTTAAGAATAAAGGGGGTCGCCCTTTATTCTTAATCGTCAGTGTTTTGCAAATAACATTAAGATTCTAATGAAATAATATGCAAGTCCCAGGCACTCAATAAGCAGATAATGAGGAGAAGGTTAAAAAGCCTCTATTAGATATGGCTTATTTCATTATAAAAAAGTCACAAGCCAACATGTTTCTAACCCTAAGCCTAACCCTAACCCTGCCTGGGACTTGCATATTATTTCATTGGATCCTTTCCCTACCCCAAGAGCACCTATCACGGATATACTTCACCTGAGCGCCTGGTTGAATCTCTTTTAGAACATTAAGATTCTCTTCATATTCATCGTTAATACATTAACAATGTACAGCGCTACCGCACATCAAAATAAAATGCTACTTTCAAGTGGAGGTGAAACAGAACAGCCTCTGCCAAAATCTAGCAACAGCCTGACATCTTTAAATTGCATTGTGCATAGGCTGCTGACTAGACATGTGCCGGTATTCGGTAATGCGATAAATCGTGGTAATGAATATGCACGATATTGTTATCGCGGGGACTTCGAAATACCGTGAAAAATAATAGATCCGAATTTAGATTTTTAGAACGCGCATCAGCTTATTTTCCATCAACCGCTTAAAAAACAATGCGTATGCTGCGCAAAACACGTGCGCACTTTGATGTAAACAATCCCCACATCACATGTATAAGCACTGTGTGCATGCAGTGCGCACTCTAGTCTAATGTAAACAATCCTCACGTGGAGAAGAAGCACGGCGGAAGGAGGAACGCTGCCGACTATTTATCCCCCGCATGGCTGCCAACTCTCACGCATTCAGCTTGAGACTCACGCAATTGACACTTTCACACGGTCTCGCGCCACACATCCATTTTCTCACGCAGAGAAAAATCGCGGAGCAAAGAGGACACTGACACCGACAGACTAGACAGAGCAGGTTACTTTTGATAAGAAAAAAATATCAGCTCTCAGGTTTTATAACGAAATTCAGACAATAAATACTGTTTTGGTGCTTGTAAATGTGACGTGACAGATCGCGCGCCTCAGATCAAGTAAACAGATCATCTGTTACTTTTTATTAAAGATACAGTACAACCCACCGAAAGGTACGTACTTTCGATCAATCAGTGTTTTTCAACCACGGAAAGAGGTCAATAAAACTGCAGGAGAACAATTATGTCACAGAACGTTACATTTACCTCAGGAAAGCCATTTAATGTTAGTTGACTATAAGAAAATAGCTATAGAGAGGAGTATTTTGCTAAATATGTGCACTATATTACATATTTTAATATATGTTTACTTGTCATTATACACTCACCGGCCACTTTATTAGGTACACCTGTCCAACTGCTCGTTAACACTTAATTTCTAAGCAGCCAATCACATGGCGGCAACTCAGTGCATTTAGGCATGTAGACATGGTCAAGACAATCTCCTGCAGTTCAAACCGAGCATCAGTATGGGGAAGAAAGTTGATTTGAGTGACTTTGAACGTGGCATGATTGTTGGTGCCAGAAGGGCTGGTCTGAGTATTTCAGAAACTGCTAATCTACTGGGATTTTCACGCACAACCATCTCTAGGGTTTACAGAGAATGGTCCGAAAAAGAAAAAACATCCAGTGAGCGGCAGTTCTGTGGGCGGAAATGCCTTGTTGATGCCAGAGGTCAGAGGAGAATGGCCAGACTGGTTCGAGCTGATAGAAGGGCAACAGTGACTGAAATAACCACTCGTTACAACCGAGGTATGCAGCAAAGCATTTGTGAAGCCACAACACGCACAACCTTGAGGCGGATGGGCTACAACAGCAGAAGACTCCACCGGGTACCACTCATCTCCACTACAAATAGGAAAAAGAGGCTACAATTTGCAAGAGCTCACCAAAATTGAACAGTTGAAGACTGGAAAAATGTTGCCTGGTCTGATGAGTCTCGATTTCTGTTGAGACATTCAGATGTTAGAGTCAGAATTTGGCGTAAACAGAATGAGAACATGGAACCATCATGCCTTGTTACCACTGTGCAGGCTGGTGGTGGTGGTGTAATGGTGTGGGGGATGTTTTCCTGGCACACTTTAGGCCCTTAGTGCCAATTGGGCATCGTTTAAATGCCACGGCCTACCTGAGCATTGTTTCTGACCATGTCCATCCCTTTATGGCCACCATGTACCCATCCTCTGATGGCTACTTCCACCATGTCACAAAGCTCTAATCATTTCAAATTGGTTTCTTGAACATGACAATGAGTTCACTGTACTAAAATGGCCTCCACAGTCACCAGATCTCAACCCAAAAGAGCATCTTTGGGATGTGGTGGAACGGGAGATTCGCATCATGGATGTGCAGCCGACAAATCTGCGGCAAATGTGTGATGCCATCATGTCAATATGGACCAAACTCCCTGAGGAATGCTTCCAGCACCTTGTTGAATCTATGCCACGAAGAATTGAGGCAGTTCTGAAGGCAAAAGGGGGTCCAACCCGTTACTAGCATGGGGTACCTAATAAAGTGGCCGGTGAGTGTATAATTGTTATTATAATGAAAATTACGGCATATTACATTTTTATATTTATATTATTATTATATTTATATTGTATGCATTATATTTAATTTCTCTCTGTATGTTTACAGCATTATGTGAGATATATTTTTTCTTGAGAAAAATTTAAATGCAGGCTATCTACTGTAGCCTACCAAATATTTATCCAAATGAGTCAATATTGAATCAAGATTGAAATTAAATCCACGAATTTAATTGAAATCGTGAAAATTGTGTTAAGCAATAATACAAACAGTAGCCTCAGTAACCATGTAAACATTATAACATGTTGTCACTAAAAAATAAAATTAATGTTTTGACAATCACAATTACACATTGTGATGCAAGTTTTTTTTAGATACCCCCAATCCGTCTGTTTCTCTTGTGCAATTAAAATATCGTGATAATACCGTATACCGTGATAAAAGCTCAATCAATTAATCGCAGCATGAAAATTTGATACCGGCACATGCCTACTGCTGACCTATATTACACTAATCTGACCACTAATTAGAATGTAGAAATTGATTTATCCCCTAATTCGCCTTTGGCTAAGCCCCGCCCCCCTTAGTTACTGTTGCTACGTCCGACAAACAAACTTCATCTGGGCTCTGGTATCAACATGGCTTATGCTGTGACAGCTCTTCCTGCTGAAATTTGATCAAACTTTTATAAAGCAGCAAATAAAGTGTCCGATAGAAGTAGGCAAAAGGGCTGCAATATACGTTCGAAGGCTATATTTACGACATACAGGTGAAACGCAAGGAACAACAAGGCATCCAAATAGAGTCAAAAGCATATCGGTCACAGTCAAAAAATGAACCACCGCATATCCTACTAATCGAGACGGAGGCTGGGACTAACAATATCAAGGAGCAACACTGTTCATGCAAAGCTGGGTAGGTCTCTATTCACTTCTATAATCGTTATTACAAAGCAAACGGACTACGCAAGTATAACGTTGTATTTATTAGCAGCGTGTGCTAGACGACACTTGTCAGGATTTGACTTCGGGTTTGGGAAGGGAAAAAAACGCACACCCCCCTCCAACCTCTCTGGGAAACGCGTATCTGTGTTACAAATGCCCCAGGCACAACGTTTAACCATATTTTAGATAAAACTACGATGGTAATAGCCTGCCGAGACTAAAAATATGACACGCCTGTGTTAAAGTCAATGGAGCGCTGTGAAAAAGTGTCGGACCTCTGTGGGAGCTCGTTCTTGGCTGCGCTGTGATTGGTCAATCTACATTCTAGGGTGTGGCTTAGCCAAAGGCGAATTCAGTTTAATCTGAATAATATTTATTACTAATAAAATTGACAGAGTATGTGCATTAAAACAATAAAACAAAAGGCAGTGCACATATCCTGCTGGCTTGAATCACGATTAACTTAAAGGATTAGTTCACTTTTAAAAAAACTTTTACTGATAATTTACTCACCCCCATGTCATCCAAGATGTCCATGTCTTTCTTTCTTCAGTCGAAAAGAAATTAATGTTTTTGATGAAAACATTCCAGGATTTTTCTCCATATAATGCACTTTGCTGGGCACCAAACGGTTCAAGGTCTAAATGACCGTTTCAGTTCAGCTTCAAAGGGCTTTAAACGATACCAGACGATGAATAAGGGTCTTATCTAGCGAAACGATCTGTCATTTCAAAAATAAATAAAAACGTTAAAGTGTTATAGGCACAAATGCTCGCCTTGCGAACTCTCCTGTTCGAACTCGTTCATCAAAATGAACAAATCTTTTTTCGAGTCAATGACTCGAAAAAAGATTCGTTCATTTTGATGAACGAGTCAATGACTCGAAAAAAGATTAGTTCATTTTGATGAACGAGTTCGAACAGGAGAGTTCGCAAGGCGAGCATTTGTGCCTATAACACTTTAACTTTTTTATTTATTTTTGAAATGACAGATCGTTTCTCTAGATAAGACCCTTATTCATCGTCTGGTATCGTTTTAAGCCCTTTGAAGCTGAACTGAAACGGTCATTTAGACCTTGAACCGTTTGGCTACCATTGAAGTCCATTATATGGAGAAAAATCCTGGAATGTTTTCATCAAAAACATTAATTTCTTTTCGACTGAAGAAAGAACGACATGGACATCTTGGATGACATGGGGGTGAGTAAATTATCAGCAAAAGTTTTTTAAAAAGTGAACTAATCCTTTAAGAGCAAATACAGCACATTCTATGGCCATTTCAGCAGCTGTAAAATATGTCATATTTGATGAACCTTTACCTTCTTTGTTGCCTTCCTTGTTGTGCTTTTTCAGCCATTCAATGTTCTTCCTGATTGCATCCAGATAACTCTCAGACTTCCCGGGATGACCTGACAGACAGAAATTGTTATTATACCCCTGAATCACCAGAAAAACTACCACAAAGAGATGATTCCTATCGCCCTCTGAGCCATCTTAGAGCTATTTGTTCAATTATCAGATGATTTTCACATGTATGGCATTATTTTATGACTAATCCTGTTTTCAAGGTTGGAATTTTGGCCAGTGACAGAAGAAAATATTCTTGTTTGTTTAAATTAATATAATTATCATTCAATATTTTGCAAGAGAATACAGAGATGAATAAATGGTGCTTTTAGAATAGATGTATTTTTACAATCATCAAGTACACATTTGTACAGATCACTTTGGCGTTATGAAAGTTTCCATAGCAACAAATTATTTCCGTAAGTGCATAAATTCTGAACCCGTCATCTCATAATTGTGGTAATTATGACATAAAAGCAGCATTAATGTATAATGGGTGTGCTCTAAATGGTTCTTAGGTAATAAACCACAGTGATTATTACAGCTTTGAACAAAAATGTACAGTACATTTAAAAAAATCAATAAAAGTCTCCCTTAACAGGGTCTCATAATTTCATTCATTACTGTCAGTTCACTCCGAGTGTTACAGCGATGCCCTCAATCTGTTGGGCTGCTGCAGAGTCTCCCTATGGGACTGACTCTCTCTCTGTATCTCTATAACACTCATACTGCAGTCTGGCTGTATGTTTCCAGTGAAATTGCAGGCTAGATTCGTATTTAATGCAGGCTCATCAGTGTATCTGCCTCAGTGCTTCTGCTAGCATGCTAAACAGCTCAATTACACCAGCAGAACCGGAGAGGCTTTTAATATGACCCAAAACGATAAACATGCTGGTGAAAATGTGAATATGATACAGGATCCTTGTATACTCACTGATTTCTGCAGCAGCCTGGACATCTTTGGTTGAGTCTTTCAAGGACTCATACTCCTTCTGCATCTTGGCAGCTTCTGTTTTGGTGTTGTCATCATCATCCGCTGCTTTTCCTGGAACGAGGTTGGGAAACAGTATAGTGATGCCAAAGTGTTCCTGAGCAGAATCTGCAGTGAATGACTTGCAGTTTGCAGTGTTGTGACCTGGGCTGGTTTGAGGTGTGGTGGTGGGTCGGATTTGGGAGATGATTTACCTGTAGGTGGCGTAATGCTGAGAGGAACCAGAGATTTGCCCAGTTTGTTCTTGGTCTGCAGGGCAATCATTGCATCCAGATTTTCTGTGGGAAAAACGTAATATTTATAAATACAGTGATGATTATTTAAGCAATTTGGAGACTGTGGGCCATATCATGCAATGCCAGGCGCGACACAAGTTTTTTTTTTTTGCTAGTTTCAGCCTGACACAGTTATCATTTTCCCGTCCTGCGCCACGTTGTTTAAATAGCAAATGCATTTTTGTGCCCATCTGTTCGCCCATGGACTGCTGGTCTGAAAACGGTGTGTTCAGGCGCATTGTTGGCGCCGTTGCTATTTTGAGGCAACTGAAATACACTGAGCCAACTGAAACCTGGTCTAAAGTCAATGGCGCAATATTTTATTTATTTATTTAAAAAGCATGTTAGTAATGTGCACCTATAGGTGGGTCCACAACGCGCGTACACTTTGTCCTGTAGATGGTCTGCTCGCGCGCTTTAACCTCGCACACGAGCAGATCCGTTTCTTTGCTAGCGTTCAGTTTTTCCACTTGCAAATTCCGCCATGTAAATAGCACAACTGGCTTTAAAAAGGGAATAGGAGATGAGACTCTGATTGGTTTATTGCACGTTACGCCCAAAACACACCCATTACTCATTTCACGAGTTCACACTAACAAATAAGTCAGACAGAATAAATGGTATGCATATTTGGCGTGCTGTCCGAGAAGAGGGCTCCGGACCATTTTTCCTGTCTTTAAACTAGCAAAAGTGGATTCCGACAAGCAGAGTGCGAATTACCCCACCATAATTGGGGGGTACTGCTCCTTCCCTCATTTTTGAAAACACTCTTATCTGAATAATTTTATGTACCTTTATAAAAGGGCAGTTTTCCTTAATTTTATTTAATGTATGCTCTAAATTTCATTTCAAATTAATTTTATAAATATGTTATAAATAACTGCGCGAGCCGCAACAGCGCAACTTTGTCCGTACATTAGCAGGAGCACAACAACAACAACTCACTCGGCTAGCTGCCCTTCTCTATCTCCACGGTGGTTAAAAATGGTACGGTCCACAATAGGGGTGTTCGCTGAAATCGCTTTACATTAAAATGTTCCTACAGTGAAAATAGGAGTTGACTTGTATTGTAACTGTAATTATATTTTTTCACAATATCAGAAAAATTATCTGACCCCCCCAAAACTGATATTTCTGTCCCTTTGGGGGGTACTGGGTCTTCATTGGGGGCAGAGCCATAGAGAGAAAGATTTGCGACACGCTTTGATGTCGCCGCGACGGCTGTCACGTGGTTCATGTAAGCCCCATTAGTTCCAAAACGTACGCGGGCTGTCATGTTCTTCTATGGACAGACAGCAGCGATTGCATTATTAAACGGTAAATATAAAATAAAACACACACCCAAGTACTTTTTAAGCTGTTATTGCCTTTTGTTAATGTCAGTTTTGCATTTGGAGAGGCAGGGTGACAACTTAGATAAGTTTTAGGCTATATTTTTGGAGGGAAAAGCTTAGTGTTCATGTTCGCATGGGTAGTAATAGCACTGGCTTTAGCGGCTCTAACTTAACTTTTCCATGTCATTCATCTGATGATGGACGTCTCATGATATTTATTTTAGCACAACTGGCTGGGCTGTATTAGGCTATTGATTCCCGTGATCTTGCTTATAAATTCCGATTCAGCCATTAGCCCTTTGTGATGACGCAAAGAGGTCTGCAGTCCGTTCAGAACGCCAACCAACATAAAATATAAATAATTACGCTGTGCATGTACAAATGAATGATTTAGGAGGGAAATAGACTGCTCCCATAACGTAGAAAGCAACGACTATATACAGCAATGTTCGGTAAATATTCAACCGAAAAATATTCTTCATAAAATTAAACCGGAGAGATAGTTAATGAGTGAATTAACTATGTTTCTAAATACATATAAGCACATGCATAACCCTCCCTAACCCATTTAAATAAATGAATTGTGTGTGTGTATGTATATAATATTATATATAGGATATATATATATATATATATACATATAAAATATTATAAAAAATATTATATATTATATACATCAGGTTACCAGTTAGCTAACGTTAGTGAAGTGTTGGTCACGTAAGCTATCGCTGCAATTAACCTATTATCTTCCAATAAACATTTACTAAAACTGGCTACATAAAATATAACTACAGACTAGATTCACGAGAGGTCGGCTAATATGTGTAAAAGTAAAAAAATACAGTAATTTCATTAATTTACCAGCGAACGTACTTCTGAAGCACTGAAAATGAATGGGGTTCAATGGAGAAACTATCAGTGTTTGGAACTATCGGCCGCTCCACGACACGCGTTACTTCCGCATTCCAAAGTTCCCATGGCGGTCTATGGGAGTGTCGCAACTCTTTCTCTCTATGGCTCTGATTGGGGGGTATAGTACCCAGGCCCGCCGACAGGGGGGGACAAACGGGTCTGTTGTCCCGGGCCCAGGGTAGGGAGGGGGGCCCAGAACTGGGCCCTCATTAAATTATGGAATAATTGTAAAAAAAAAAAAAAAAAATAGGCATATTTGTTGAAAAAATATCTAATATTTGAGTTACATAAAAGCTTTTTATTCGTTTTCTTCCTAATTGTCCTTTAAAAATAGTGGTCAAGAACCCCCCCGCCCCCCAAACAAAAATGGTTTGGCCACTGATCGAAATATGATGTTGTCATTTGATTTGAAGTTCAGTAGGCTAACGTTACGCTCAAAATGTCAGCACAAGTCCGGTGCTCAGAAAAGAAAAGAGAAGAAGAAAATAGAGGCCTTCGAGATGCCCTAAACAAATATTTTTAAAAAGGTGGTGACGGTGAAGCTGGAACTAACGTTAGTAAAGTCAACGTTGAGCAAGGTAAGAAACAGCGCAGCCAACGTTTATGAGTGTTGTCAAAGACCCGGCACTTCGGTACCAAGTCGGTACACATTTCTTTTTAAACGTCACGCCACGGTACCAGGTTTTCTCAAACCCGGGATGCACGCGTGCATGCCTAAAGCGCGTGCAGTTGCGTCCTCTTCATAAAAGCGCTGAGACATGGCGACCGGGGGTGCTGCTGCTGTGGTGGCTGTATGCTGTAAATCCACTTGTTGATAAGAAAGGAGGAAAGAGCCACATATGGAAATATTTTGGATATTAGCTCATAATAGCGACGCGGCGCGCTCGTTTTTACAGGCGCGCCTAAGTTCATTGTTGCATAGCAACGACAGACGCCACGGGAGAGCAAACGCTTGTGGAAAGGAGAAAGCGGTGCGAACTGCGCTCTCCATGATGACGAGGAAGTATTAGCAAAGAATTCATTGATTTCTAGCCCTTGGATTAGCTTTACTACTATTTATGGAGATGAGAAATAAAAAGCCGGCTGAAATGCATCACTGTCATCATCGGTGAACAGATAATGGGTCAGATCCGAGTCTATTTTTGCTGTGCTGCTCATGCTTAAAAGTGAAAGCACACTTTTGATGGACAAAAAATAAATATGATTTCACACAAAAAGTGCCCAAAAATGCACAGATTATGCATGTCTAGTGTGTTTTAACAAGAACTGCAGTAGGCTATGTCAGAAAAGAAAATGAAGACATTTATAGAAAATGTACCCATTTAAACGTGTTTTTATTATTCATTTTGGGTAAAAGTATATGGTGTTTTATAAAAAATAAAAAAAATCGTGGGGGGGGGGGGGGGGGGGGCCCATCTAAGATTATCTTGTCCCGGGCCCAGGCAAGACTGTCAGCTGGCCTGATAGTACCCCCCAGTACCCCCTGTAATTCGCACTATGCCGACAAGGCCTAAGTGCGCTCGCGCTGTGCGCTTTAGATCATGCGCTTAGATCGTTAAAATAGAGCCCTGTATTTTTCCTGTAACACTCTACAATAAGGTCCCATTAGTTAACATTAACTAGTTCATGCATTAACTAGCAATGATCAATACATTTGCAACAATATATATTAATCTTTATTAATGATAGTTAATAAAAATACAACTTTTAATTGTTAGATGATGTTAGGTACATTAAATAATATTAACAGATACAACTTGATTTGAGTAATGTATTAGTAAATGTTAGAATTAACATTAACTAAGATTTATAAATGCTTTAGAAGTATTTCTCATGTTTAGTTAATATTAATGTAGTTAACTAATGTTAACAAATTAAACCTTTTCGCAAAGAGTAACTGATTTTTAAAACTGTATAATATTAAAGCTGGAGTCGGCAAGTCTGGCAGATTGAGTGGATTTAGGCAAAATTTTGAATGTTTACAACTCTCATGGCCCTCCCCCACTATCAACGGATACCCTCCAACCGAGTTCGTGCTCGTCAGTGCGTGTGCACCAGATTTTCAGTGAACGCGCCCGTCTCATCAGCATCCATCAACACCATGGAGTATTTGGAGGTATGCTGCCCTGGCTAATCTACCGATAGATTGCAATTGCTAACGTCATTTATACTCTAAATGAGCTTACTTGATTTTCCGCCATCACTCTTCGTTACTGCGCGAACTTCCGCGAACTTCAGGCGTGTGCATGTCATTGTAACGTGCGCGAGGGGTGGCGTGTGCCCGATCTGTGATTGACAGTCAGATCTCAGATTATTTTTATTGTTTATTGTGATAAGAAAAAAGTTCAATAAAAAAAAAAAAAAAAGTCCCGCATTCTCAGACCCCTCGTTTTTCGAGACAGCGCCTCCTATCAAATTGGATCGGATAAATATGTGAAGAACTTAAGCCGAAACGTGAGTATCGTCAATTTTATTTAGCGAATCATACTCATTCAATTTATTTTTTAATCAAACTACTTTATAGCTCATCGATACACCAACATATGAATAGTCCATTTAATATTTGTAAAGATAGTTTGTAACAAAATTTGAGCCGTTAATGTATGTTTTTTCGCCTTTTTTCCCCCGAAAATATTTTGATAGCTAACGTTAGCCTTTAACCTTAGACTTTTTGTAGACATTAAAGTAGACCAGATAAATATATTAAGTGTGTTAATAGCAAAGAATGTCATCATTAATTATTTAATCAGATTTACC